CTATATCAACGCAGTACTATTCATGCGTATTAGAGCAATAGTTGTTGCGCTGCTTGCTCACACCTATAAAATGTATCTTCGCGGAGATCGCTCAACATCCAAGTATTGCAAAAATATCAATCTTTGTATCGAAAGAAGCGACACTGTACCTGTATATGACCAGATCGTTTGAGATCCCGTACTACTTTCGCAACCAGAGAAGTTGGAGTCATATCAGGAACAAAATCCACTACTGCTTTTGCGGCACCATGATCAATATTCTCCTTTTCATCCTCCAAAGTTCGGAAGAATACTTGATAGTTCAAATTCGCAGCTGAAAGCTGGTAATAAGACCTAACTGCAACCAATGCCGACAAATGTATAACTGAATAAAAGCAAGAAAAAAAAACAATAGCTCTAAACAAAGAAAAGAACGAGAAAAGTGAGTTCAACTACGGGTCGAATTCTATACTAATCATAAGTCAGCCGTGAAATAGAAAACAGATACCGAAGAAAACTTAAAATGCTTATCGGAACCATTTTTATAAAATTGAAAAAAAATTCAGAAAATCAAGCAAGGAGCGGAAAACAAACATTTAATCTTGGCAATCAGTGAGTGAGGGCACGGTTGTGCCACTTTCAGCACCACCGCTTCAGGAAAAGCATAATGTTCGTAGCCTTCGCTACCTGAAAGAAACTAAATTGGAACTCAACGGGAAATACTACCCCAGTACAGAGAATTTCAATAAAAACCTCGGCTATTCACGGCCTCAACAGTGTCTTTGAAAAGCGCAGCACGGCAGGTTTTTAATTCATCCGATAACCCTGTTTCGAGTTCGTCCAATGAATATCCAAGAGCTTGACCTAAAAATGTCGAATTATGGTGAACTTTTGGCAGAATCCATACGCAGCTGGTTATTCGGTAACGTTATGCAAATATAGACAAATGAGGTGGTTACACCGCGTACATCACGTTCTAGGGGATTCGGCTAAATCGTTCTAAAGAAGGCATGCTCGCCGATATTGAAAATCGACATTTCGACGATTAGCTTGACCAGTAGGCATTAAGTCGTTTTCACCCTCACCAAAAGCCGAACCGCTTCACTCAAAACCTCTTATTGGAACACGGACTTTGCGCGCAGCTGTTATGAGCACCATATATAACCGTAGCGCATCAGCATGCTTCCAAAATAGGTCAACAGACATGTGCTAGAGGGTGATGAGATCTGCGACTCACCTATGACATTCGCCAAATCTCGTTCATGTCGGAAGCTCTCCGGTTCAAAAAGCGACAGCATAGGATATGGTCTCGTGAAATCAATCTTAGACAGCAACATCTAAACTCAGGTAAATGTAGTAAGAACGAAATTTGTTCGAAACAATCGAAAAAAAGGTAAACAAACGAGGTTTCTGGATACTAACTAAGTCATCTATCAGTACAGTAAAAGCAGTGAGTACGACAAATCTGGATCCAACCGTTAAAGAATCCAGTGAAAGTGGAAGCCAGGCGATAAGCCTATACAATGTGTGACATTGCTGCAGGGAAAGTCACATTAGTAGCATAGCACTTAGGCTCTAACTTTCGAGCGTGCTTGCTAACGTGTGCTTACTTTTCCATTACCGTTTGATTTCATGTGACCTTGAAAACAGTTCCGTATTCAAAACAGACGTTGTTTGTAAATTATTTTCCATGCCTACTCTTCTATAGGGATAACTAAGCTGTGGAACTCGTTTCAAATCACGGACTAATTTAGGGTCCCTTATCGCGGGTTTCTGAATGATTTCTCTGCCTGATTGGCGCACCATATTTGATCAACATCAAATTATCTGTACTCACTGCCTTTAAGGGACACTGTAGATAAGAGATGTGTCACAAAGAGAAGAAGGAAGAAAAAGGAAAGCTTGTAGTGACGGAAGCAAGGAGATGTACTGTATCATTCAGCTGTCAAGAAAATGTTTAAAAACAACAAAAACCAACCAAATCAAATAGAAAAGAGAAAAAAATCCCATAGAAAAAAATTGACAATAATCAAGAGCATAAAATTTAGATAAAATGGAGCTCACTTCTTCATTGTATAATTCCTCCATATCACCCGTTGACTTCCGTAACACTTGGAAGACATAATCAGTAGCTTTCATGGAGAACTGCGATACGGACATTCTAAAGGGAAAAAGAGCAATGCGATCACAGATGTTAATGGAAGCAAAACTGGTCGAACCTCTTCAATTAGCGACAATTTTCGTTTTTCAAACCCGTTGCAAACTAAGACTGAATCCGCAGCAACGTCACTTGATCCACGGCTAGCAGGACCTTTTACAAAATTTGTTCGCGCAAATGATAGACAGCAAAATACGAACCTACACAAGAAAAGTAACCGTGAGAAGCTGTCTTTCCCCTAGTCCGCCTAATTCAATACAGCTGACCGCATCCGACGATGACGAGCAAAGAAGCGACGGGTTCGTGTAATCAATCTCGAATGTTGTTCTGAAACAAGAGCATATTTCACAACATAGTTCGAGGCTTAAAGATAACTCTAGGCTCTTAATTTCGTATAACTTCGTATACAGCCAACAATTTCAAATATGTGGCGGCAGCCACCTCTCACACGCTCGACTCGTCCTGACCCACCAACGAAAACCTAATCCGAAAAGGTGCACAAAAATTAATAGATTCCCGAGTCTGCGACCGTTACGAATGCGATTCAAAATTGCCCCATCCAACCATTCACCTAATGTTAACAGACAAACACAGTCCCTGTAGAGAGAAGAGAGGCATCAGCCTGCAACACGTTTACTTCCACTTCCATCAAAACACACAAACAACTCCCAATTTTGGTATTCTACCGGTAGAAAAGTGTCATCTGTTTAGAACTAAGTACATACGATCACAAAAGGGAAGATTTAAGGGAAGACGCCTAATCAACTTGGAAAATATTCACATGACAACCATACGGTAATTGCCACAATTGGTCCCCTCCTTCCTTTTCGAATCTACCATGGAACATATGCATGTAAAAATCTGGGATGTAATTACTTAGTCCTGTGACCCACTCCGATCAGGGCGTCTATACCTCAGCGCTTAAAATATAGCGCAGCCGTTGAAAGTGCCCAACGCATTGCATGCTTTCATGTGCTTATAGATCCCACACACCCAAGAAGACCCTCAGCAGTAACGATAACCGATAAAGTCGTACACAAGAACGAAAATGCCGACTGAAAAGCCTCCGTACAGATCACTGGGTAGGGTGAGCACCAATCGAAATGAAGTTACATACTAGTGAGTGTGAGCGCATCCCTAGAGTACTACAGGGTGGTCCAAAATTATGAGGACCGCGTGCGCGCGCAGTCATATCCACTTTTTTCCGTATCGCTCCATTTTCATCTCGTTTCTGTGCACTATGTGAAAGGGTACAATGTCTTCTTCCTAATGAAACCAAATTTCATGAAGTTCTCAAAACTAGTGAAATAACTACTTCACTTTGAGTCAGTCCTCAAATTGAACTCACTAGGGGCTCTGGCACGTTACATCTAGCAGCAGTCTAACCTATCAGGGAAGCCCTTATGAGCAACAGTTCAACTCTTCAATAAGTTTGGAACCACCACAGATGGAAAATTCGGGGACTCGAAAGTTACAGTTTACCACCAGGACAATTATCAGATGCAGAAACTAGGTCTCCCCTTGTCGACTTTCGTACACCCAAAATGAAAAAATTGATGTGAAAACCCAGCCAGACACTCTAAAGACTCCACATCTGTAGTGGATAGAAAGCCACACGAGTAGTCTACTTAGAACTTCTTACAGGACCGAGCACCCAAGAATAAAGCAAAAATCCTCCAAAAAGCGATTTTTCGAGTTCGTTGCTTTCGAAGAATTGTTACAATGGAACCATCCACCTAATAGCTCTAGATTTCTGTATTTCACACCCTGGATGCAAGCGCAAATAAATGCAACACAAAAGTTTGATTCCCTGAAGAAGGCAGAGCAGAAGGCCTGGAAACATTTGGACACGCCTTAGTTGCGTGCCACCGCACGCGCCATCCCCCTCATCCGAAGGCTCGTGTTAACGGGGGAAGTGGCAGATCTCAATTCTATTCTGGAATTACTTTGAGGTAAGAGTTACAAATACTTCCCAGAAGTTGGTTTGTTCCATCAAGCTACTATGCGTTTTTAACGACACAATGTCTTGGTCCTCATAATTTTGGACCACCCTGTATACTGATCTTGGTCGCGGGCATTGCTATCGCTACGCGGCTTAGTCATAAAAGAAAAAAAAACATGAAACTCAAAAAAGAATTCTGGAAAACTTCACAGAGCAGAACAGACCTTAATCAGCCACCTCGGCCAAAAAAAGGTTTTAAAAAGTGCAGAAAAACCAAAGACATGAATATGTCAAACCTCTTTCTTTGTTCCCATTCATGATGAAGACCATGGAGCGTACGATGTACGGCTTCAATTCGACTCATACGTCCATCGGGTTGTTGGCTTGCATTCTTTTTCCGTGGTTCCACTCCCATGAAATCCGAGTTCCTGGATCCCGATGGACCTGGGAGATCGTCGCCGGCAGAGCTTGCGGCCACGGCAGCACCGCTCATCTCCGACTAAACTACAGAACAATCCATGCTGAATGTGCATTTTGAGAATTGTCCATCAGAAACATTTCAGAAAAACCTATTCTCGTAAGGTCTAAGCAGATAGTATAACACGTGAAGAAAACACATTTCCACAGTCGTTCCAACTAGTATAAGAAACCTTCATATAAGCAATAACATGATGAAAAAAGTCAACGATAACAGACTTATCGGAAATGTCAATACAGTACTTCTCAATGAATAGACTTCCAAGAAAGCAAAAGAACAAAGAATGAATTATTTTGCACGAATCTTGCCCGTCACGAAAAAAGCCCGTAAAATTGGAGAACGCGCGAACGGTCGACGCGCAGTCACACTTTCTTTGAAGAGTTATGAGCGCTGCTGCGCTCCAGAAGGTCGCGGTAGCTGGGTGGTCGACGACGTCGCCGATGCCGATCTGCCCATATTGATTTTCAAACCTTCACCAACCATCGTAGCGCGCACTAGACGAGCCGTCTCTTCCTTGTTGAACGTTGGCTGAACAAACAAAATAATTAGATTAGATAAAAACACTTTAGATTCAAGGCAGCTGATAACTCGTTGAATTGAGGACACTACGTAAACACCCACAATATTCTCAAAGATATTGAGAGGGCAGAAATAAAAGTCGCAGTTCTGAAGTACTCGCGGACGTCACCTTCACTTCTTTAGAAGACAAAATATCTTCCACCGGAGGGTCCAATTACTTGGCGCTAAAGCGTGAGTAACGCTCAAAATTCGTG